TGTAACAGGAGGCTGAATTTGTGGGAGAAAGTTTTCCAACACTCACTGCATCCATAAGGCTTCTCCCCTGTGTGAGTTCTTTGATGGATAATAAGATGTGACTTCTGGGCAAAAGATTTCTGACATTCGCTGCATTCGTGGGGTTTCTCTCCCGTGTGTGTTTTCTGATGCAAAACGAGGCTGAACTTAATAGGAAAAGTTTTCCCACATAAACTGCATCCATAGGGTTTCTCTCCTGTATGGATTCTCTGATGAATAATAAGGCTAAACTTGTGAGAGAAAGTCTTCCCACACTGGACGCATTCATACGGTTTCTCTCCTGAGTGAATTCTCTGGTGAATGAGGAGATAGGACTTCCGGCTGAAGGCTCTGTGGCATTCGCTACACTCGTAAGGTTTCTCTCCAGTGTGAGACCTCTGATGAATAGTGAGGTGTGACTTTTGGGTGAAAGCTTTCTGACACTGACTGCATTCATAAGGTTTCTCACCCGTATGTGTTCTTTGGTGTAGGATAAGACTAAACTTGATGGAGAACGTTTTCCCACATTCATTGCACCCATAGGGTTTCTCTCCTGTATGAGTTCTCCAGTGAGTATTGAGGAGTGACTTTACACTGAAGCCTTTTCCACATTCACTGCAATGATAAGGTTTCTCTCCTGTGTGAGTTCTCTGATGTCTAATGAGCTCGGATCTCTGGATGAAGGCTTTTCCACAGTCACTGCATCCGTAAGGTTTTTCCCCTGTATGAGTTTTTTGATGTAAAATGAGGCTAAACTTAAGGGGGAAATTTTTCCCACATTTGTCGCAACCGTAAGGTTTCTCTCCCGTGTGAGATCTCTGATGAATAATGAGCTGTGACTTGTTGCTGAAGCTCTTCTCACACTCACCACACCTGTAGGGCTTCTGTCCTGTATGAGTTCTTTGATGTGAGGTGAGTTGTGACTTACCGCCGAAGCTTTTCTGACATATGCGACACTCAAACCGTTTCTCTCCTGTGTGAGTTCTCTGGTGTTTATTAAGGCATGACTTATCAGTAAACGCTTTCCCACATTTATTGCATGCATAAGGTTTCTCTCCTGTGTGGGTTCTCTGATGTAAAATGAGATGGGACTTCCGGCTGAAGGCTTTCTCACATCTACTGCAACCATAGGGTTTCTCTCCTGTGTGTGTTCTCTGATGCCTAATGAGGTCTGCCTTCTGGGAAAAGACTCTCCCACAGTCACTGCAGTTAAACTGTTTCTCTCCTGCTCGAGTCTTCCAATGTTCAATAAGCTGTGACTTATGGCCGAAAGCCTTCAAGTGTTCATTAAATTCATTATATTTTTCTCCATTATGAGTTTTCCCATGCTTGGTATAAAGAACTACTTTGTCGTACCCATTAAATTCCACTTTGTTTCTTGCATAGCTTTTATTCTGAATAATGTGCTCTACGTTAGGTTTCAAGTGTTTCCCAAGTATGTCAAATGTATGGGATCTTTGTGCTAAAGGGACATCAGAATTTAAGCTTAGAGACAATATTTTTCTAAATGGGTTATTTATGTGGTGACTCTCCATAGCTTCAAGGTTGCCTTGGTTTTCTTGGTGCCAGTCTGTATGACTATCCACTTGCCAGATGTCATCTAGAAAGGAGACCAAGGAACCACAATGATCATGTAATAGAAGGAGTGGAATTTCATAGCAAAGGCCAAGCAGAGAAGAGGAAACGAGACTGGGTATACAGTGAAAGTCTGAGACATTTGTAAGTGGAAGGAAGAAAAAAAAGGGAATAAACTAGAAAATGAGAAGAGGGACAATTTACGAATGCTGAGTATATAAGAAAAGAAAGCTATAACTGTGGGTTAGGGAAACAAAGATGAGAAGCCAGGTAAACTGAGGATGCCAGGGAGAAAGATTAATTAGGACAGCAAGTTCCAAGATGCACTAGAGGGGGATCTGATCCAAATACAAAAGAGAAGGAGATGTATTCTTTTATTTTCTTTTATTTTTAATTTTTCTTTTTGAAGTAGGCTCCATGCCCAACACAGGGCTTGAACTCATGACCCTGTGATCAAGAGTCGCACACTCAGGGCACATGGGTGGCTCAGTTGGTTAAGCGTTTGACTTCGGCTCAGGTCATGATCTCGCGGTTCGCGGGTTGAGCCCTGTGTCGGGCTCTGTGCTGACAGATCAGAGCCTGGAGCCTGCTTCGGATTCCGTGTCTCCCTCGCTCTCTGCCCCTCCCCCACTCATGCTCTGTCTCTCTCTGTCTCAAAAATAAAATAAACATTAAAAAAAAAAAAAAAAAAGAGTCTCACACTCTACTGAATGAGCCAGTCGGGTGCTCCCGGAAATGTATTCTTTTAAAAACCAAGAGGGGGCGCCTCGGTGGCGCAGTCGGTTAAGCGTCTGACTTCAGCCAGGTCACGATCTCGCGGCCCTGGAGTTCGAGCCCCGCGTCAGGCTCTGGGCTGATGGCTCGGAGCCTGGAGCCTGTTTCCGATTCTGTGTCTCCCTCTCTCTCTGCCCCTCCCCCGTTCATGCTCTGTCTCTCTCTGTCCCCAAAATAAAAAATAAACGTTGAAAAAAAAATTAAAAAATAAAAATAAAAACCAAGAAAAAGGGGAGCCTGGGTGGTTCAGTAAGTTAAGCATCCAACTCTTGGTTTTGGCTCAGGTCATGATCTCACAGTTTGTGAGATTGAGCCACATGTCAGGCTCTGCATTCACGGTGTGAAGCCTGCTTGGGATTCTCTCTCTCCCCCCCTCTCTGTCCCTCCTCTTCTCTATCTCACTGTCTCAAAATAAATACATAAACATTAAAAAGAAATAAAAACCAAACAAAAGAATCCTAATATGGAGAGATTAAAAAGTGGAATCAAGGGGCATCTGGGTGGCTTAGTTGGTTGAGTGCCGGACTTTGGCTCAGGTCATGATCTGATGATTCATGGGTTTGAACCCCACATCAGGCTCTGTGCTGACAGCTCAGAGCCTGGCGCCTGCTTCGGTTTCTGTGTCTCCCTCTCTCTCTCTCTGCCCCTCCCTTGCTCGCACTCTGTCTCTCTCTCTCTCTCTCTCTCTCTCAAAAATAAACAAACATCAGGGGCACCTGGGTGGCTCAGCTGGTTAAGCATTGGACTTTGACTCAGGTCATGATCTCACGGTTCATGAGTTCAAGCCCTGTGTCAGGCTCTGTGCTGACAGCTCAGAGCCTGGAGCCTGCTTCAGATTCTGTGCCTCCCACTCTCTCTGCCCCTCCCCCACTCACAGTCTGTCTCTCTCTCAAAAATAAACAAACATTAAAAATAAACAAACATTAAAAAAAAAGTTATAAACGGAGAGGGAGGGAGGCAAACCATAAGAGACTCTTAAATACAGAGAACAAACTGAGGGCTGACGGCGGGGGTGCGGGGGAAAGGGGAAATGGGTGATGGGCACTGAGGAGGGCACTTGTTGGGATGAGCACTGGGTGTTGTATGTAAGAAATGAATCACAGGAATCTATCCCCAAAACCAAGAGCACACTGTATACACTGTATGTTAGCCAACTTGACAATAAATTATCTTTAAAAAAATTAAAAATAAAAAAAAAAAGAATGAGATAACAAAAAAAACACTTTTTTTTTTTCTCGTGGAGTCAGTATTAATGTTATGTGGGAGCTTACATCCCCTCTTCTAAGTCATACTCAGAGCTTAAAAACTTCAAGATTTCTCTGAACAACAATAGGTACCTCCCCGTTTCTGACCAAATAGAAATGTACTTCCATTTATGCCCCGGGGATGGTTTCTCACTCACCTGGATGAATCTGACTCTGGATTTCTTCCTCTGTTATCCATGGTGGTCCTTGTTCCAACTGGTAGAATGCATCTGCTTTGGTAACTTGACACCCTACTCAAGGAAAATTATAGCGGATCCATGGACCCACATACTTGGGCTTACAAGGCCTCTGAAAAACGGGGAAGGTTGTTTTTAAGGGCCCGAACAATTTGCCTCTTGGCCAAGTAAAGGCCTTTTATTTTGGGAGCGAGAGAAAAGCACTCTGTTTGTTAAAGGCCAGAATGTACTAAAATCTATGAGGTATGAAACTCAAGTTCAAAAAAAGTAAGGTACTTGTAAGGCTCCACACATTTCATTGCTGACAAAAGAAAGGCAACTGATTGCCTGCATTACCCTGGGAAGGCTCTGCTTACCCACTGATACCAGGTTGCTATAATTTTCCAACATCACATCTTGATACAGGTGCTTCTGAATGGGGTCCAGGAGCTGCCACTCCTCCCATGTAAAAACCACAGCCACATCCTTGAATGACGGTAAGCCCTGCAATAGAACGTTCCTATTCATTCTAAAGGGATTATCATTGGTTAATACTATAAAAATAAGTATCATATAATAATTTTTCAGGTGGTAAATCATTTGCCTTCTACATAACTAGTTCTGCATCATACTTTTTAGGAAAAACTAATTTTTTATTTAAAATTTCCTATCTTTGGGGCACCTGGGTGGCTCAGTCAGTTAAGCATCTGACTTCGGCTCAGGTCATGATCTCATGGTTCGTAGGTTCGAGCCCCACATTGGGCTCTGTGCTGACAGCTCAGAGCTTGGAGCCTGCTTCGGATCCTGTGTCTCCCTCTCTCTCTGTTCCTCCCCTGCTCACGCTGTGTCTCTCTCTCTCTCAAAAATAAACATGAAAAAAATTTAAATATCCTATCTTGGTGCTTCCAATCATTCACTGATGTACATGTTCACTCTTTCATAAGAGACATAGACAAGAGCATCCTCAAATCCTTTAATCTTGGCACCACGTACAACCTATGTGAACGCACCTCTATGTCAGACACTGCACTGGATACTCCTTTGTACGGAAGACTTGCTTCCACCCTGAAGGAGCATACTGGCTTGCAGAAAGAGGAATGGAAGTGCACAAGTCTACAATACATATATAGAGGGCAAGAAAGAAATACATACCTTGTGGGCACCAACGGGGAGCAGAAAAATTATAAAGGTTGAACTTCAGAGGGGTAAGGAGAGAGGTGCATGGAATTCAGGAAAGAAGTAACATGAGGGGCACCTGGGTGGCTCAATCGGTTGAGTGTGTGACTTAGGCTCAGGTCGTGACCCCATGGTTCAAGGGTTTGAGCCCCATATAGGGCTCTCTGCTGTCACAGCGGAGCCTGCTTTGGATCCTCTGTCCTTCCCCCTCTCTGCCCCTCCCCCACTCATGAGCATGCGTGTGCTCTCTCTCAAAAATAAACATTAAAAAATACAAGAAAGAAGTAACATGAATGACAGCACAATGAAAAACCATGAGCATTTAAAACCCGCAAATACATCCTAAGTTGTGAAACCAAACGACTGAATTTAAAGCAGGTAGAGCACACTGTAAGCACTCAAAAAAAAAAACGTTCACTTATTATTTTTTGTTACTGAAATGTTGATAGGGATGGATTTCCAAGGTACTGGCTTAAGTACACTTAATAAGTTACAGAAAAGTACATGAACTATAATCTCAATTATGACAATGGGTTATTAGGGTCTGTGCAGAAAAGGGTTGACTCCGCAGGCTTGGGTTGCCCAAACCCCGCATGCTGCAAAGAAAGGCCTGTCTTCAGGAAGACCAGCCATTGACTTGCTCCTGGGTGATAACCTCTGAACCCCTGGAATATCCAGCCCAATACAGGTGTTTCCACATTCCTGAGGCTTGGGCTACGCTCTATCAGTTAGAATTTGGGGGGCCTGGAGACTGAGTAGCTGAGGTCAGTCACATATGCTAAATGCCTATGTTGACTGACATTCAATACAACCCTGGACACCAAGCTGCAGGTGAGCCCCCCTGGATGGCAGCACTTTCCACCTGTTGCTACACATCGTCATGGGGAGAATTAAGTGCTATTCGAGCTACTCCACTGGGTTAGGATAGCTGGAGGCTGATGCCGAGTCTTTCCTGGATGCTACTCTGTATCTTTTGCCTTTGCTGATTTTACTTAAAAAAAATTTTTTTAAATGGGCTCCACAACCAGAGTGGAGCTCAGTACGGGACTTGAATTCATGACCTTGAGATCAAGACTCAGATGCTTAATTAGAAAAAAAAAAAATTAAGAGTCAGATATTTAACCAATTGAGCCAAGCAGGTGCCCCTGCCTTTGCTGATTTTAATCTGTATTTTTTCCACTGTAATAATCCATAACTGTGAGTATAACAGCTTTTTTGAGTCCTTTTGAGTTCTTCTGGAGAATCATCAAGACGGAGGGTGGGCCAAGGACCCCCAACTCAAATATATAAAAATTCATAGTTATATATGTAATTGCTGACAGGGAAATTCAAAACAATACATATAACTTTTTAGATTATTTATTTTGAGGGTGGTGAAAAAGGATCAATGAGGGACTTACAAGTTTATCTCTAGAAACTTCTGTACTATTTGCAACTTTAGACATTGAGACTATTTTAAGGTTTACTAATATAATTGGAAAAATGTTATAATAGAAGAAATGAACTATGAACTGACAGTTGACATCTGAATTTTGCGGTGTGAAAAGATTACAAAGGAAATATTCTAAGACTTCACTAATAGGTTGGGGTTTCTCAGCCTCAACCCTACTGACATTTTGGGCTGGATAACTTCTTGTGATAGAGCCTGTACTGTGTGCTGTAGGATGTTTACCAGCATCCCTGGCCTCTATTTACTAGATCCCATTAACAGTCATGACAATCAAAAATGTCCCAGAGGGGTGCCTGGGTGGCTCAGTTAAGTGTCAGACTCTTGATTTTGGCTCCAGTCATGATCTCACAGTTTGTGGGTTGAAGCCCCACATCGGACTCTGCAGCTGGCAGTGCGGAGCCTGCTTGGGATTCTCTCTCTCCCTCTCTGCCCCTCCCCTGCTTGTGATGTCTCCAACTCTCTCAAAGTAAATAAATAAACTTAAAAAAAAATGTCCCATACATTGTCAAATGTCCCCTGGGGAGACAAAATCATCTCGAATTGAGAATCACTGATTTAAAGAAAAAATTTAATTTTGAGAGCTGTTTGTGGAAGACCAAATGATGGTCTTAGAATCCATCCATTCTTGTTGATAATCTAGGTGTTATCCCTGAATACAGTCAGACCACCAGGAAGCTGTGGACGTGAGCTACACTGTTTTGAACCCCTAAAGCACTCTGATCACTGAGTTTGGCTCTGGTGTAACACCACTGGCTTATCTGTGGATGGCTGAGAAATAATCAAAGGAAACTCACCACTTTTTTAGTCGTTTTCTATATGTAGAAGGCACTGAGCACTAAGCAATCTAACCTAAATACCCACCAAAGAAATGTCTTCTACTTATGTGACAGAAACTATCTACTCTTCTAGAGGATCTTTCTCCTTAAGGTAAGGCAAATCGCCAGTGATTGTTTTTTTAAGTTTATTTTGAGAGAGAGTACACAAAGACGAGCAGGGGAGAGGCATAGGGAGGGAGAGAGAGAGAGAGAGAGAGAGAGAGAGAGAGAGAGAATCCCAAGCAGGCTCCTTGCCATCAGCACAGAGCCCGACTCAGGTCTTGATCTCACGGACCTAAAGATCATGACATGAGCCAAAATCAAGAGTTGGATGCTTGACTGACCCACCTGGTTGCCCCTCACCGACAATTTTTTATTGACAGCCATGCAGTAGATTATATTTCCCAAGGATGACTACAATAATATGTCCCATTCCAAAGCCTTCTGCAACATGACCTTGCTACTCCCCTGTCAAGAGGCAGAACCTGTTCCCCTCTCCTGGAATCTAGTTTGTCTTAGGGTGTTGCTTGTAACAGAGAGGATGCAGCTGAAGGGATGATGCAGAAAAGGCCATGTGGTTTCAGTCTGGTTCTGTCATCATCTGGCATCATTCTCTGAGAAGCCCGAGTCACCCTGGGAGGCTGTGCACAAATACTCCAATAGCCCCAGCCCAGCCTAGCTTTTGAGTCATGTCGTCCTGGAAAACAGATACGGGAATGAAGAAGCCTTCAGATGATTCCAGTTCCCAATCTTTGAGTCTTCCCAGCTGAGGTTCCAGAACCATGGTGTGGAGACAAACTGCAATAAAGGGGTAACACAGCAGTCTGGGTTGTCCACACCCTGCACATGCCAAAGAAAGGTTTGGTCCTTACCTGTTCATAGGAAGTAACCTCTGAGCCCTGGAAATATCTTTACCTGAGAACTCTGAGCTACACCAGATGATCTATGCTATCAATGTGATTCACGGTGGGGGGCTTGGGCCACACCGTAGCAGCTTGACTTCTGAAAGGCCTGGAGACTAAAGTCAGCCATTGATGTAGTGAGCGTTGCCTACGTGCCCGAATCAAATAAACACCCTGCAGTGGCGCCTCGGTGTCTCAGTTGGTTAGGTGTCTGACTCTTGATTTAGGCTCAGGTCATGATCTCAGGGTCGTGAGATCAAGCCCCATGTCCATGTTGAGATTCTCTCTCCCTCTCCCTTGACCCCTCCCCCCCCGCTCTTGCACCACACACACTCTCTCTCTCTTTAAAAACTCCAAACCCTGGAAACTAAGGTGTGAGTGAGCTTCCTTGATTAGCAATACTCAATATGTGTTGTTACAAACCACTGCCGGGAAAATTCAACACTGTCCACGTGACTCCACGGAGAGAACTTTTTGCCTGGTGTCTCCTGGATCTGACCTTACAGACTTTCTCTGTGGCTGATTTTAATCTGTATCCTTTTGCTGTAATAAGCTATAATCGTGAATATAACAATGTTTCTGAGCACTCTGAATTCTAACAAATCACTGATTCTGAGGGTGGTCTTGGGAACTCATGAACAGGTAAGGCACCACCAAGGGGCCCTGTCTGACCCACTGAATTCCTGACCCACTGACTCCATGACGATGATAAAATTAAATGCATATCACCAGGTTTCAGGGTGGCTTGTTATGCAGCAATAAATAACTGGAACAGGAAATACTAAAGACAAGTTTGTAGCTCAATTTTATGATTAGAACTTTGTGGACTATAATCTATATTCTAACTTAAAACAATGTCTATAACATATGATTTACATATCCTCATTGCTACCTGGCTGTGAGGTTGATTCTTTGTCCATTTTTCCCCAGATTCTGACATTTATCTCTTCATGCCTTATCTGGTATAGAGTAGTCAGCATAAATACTGAATAAACATATTCTTTTAATAGGTGTATTATTAAATCTCCCCAAACCCACTGCAAAGACTAATGGAAAAAATATATATAAATATACAACTCACTGGGGACTTGGACATTTTCTGGGGCCCTTAGACACCGTCAGAAAGTCTAATATCTGCTCTGTTGTTGATTCTGGGCTGTTTTCTGAAGCTCTAGTTCAAGGTCTCTGGTCAAGGATGCAGCGTTGATCTTTGTATCTTCACTTCCTTCCTTCATAAGAACTATTTTATCCCAGGAAGCCAGGACCTGGGAATTATAGAAATTGTAACTATGAGTATAACAGATTTTTCTGAGTTGTTTGAGTCCTCATTTGTATGTGTATATGTATTTTAGATATACACAAATACAGGTATATCAAAAAATTGTTTTCTTTAGGTAAATATAATCGTCTAAAGAAAACAAGTAATATGTATTACCTGATGGCTCAATAATTATTATATAATAAACACTAACAATAAAGTGTCACCATTAAATTATGTAATTTTACTGAAACTGTACTCAAAACTAAATCTACACTTAGAGAAAGACCATTGAAAGAAGTAGGGGAGAAAATGTCCAATGAGAAAATTTTAAAAGCCTAAAAAATCCAGAGAAACGGGTATAAATACTGGAATACTGCTTGCTGACCTGTCTTGGGTATCCACTGTGTGATCCTTAACTGTATGAATAGTTAGTACTGTTCTGTTTTTTTGCTTTTTTTAACAAATGAGAAAAGAATCTCAGAGAGGTTGAGAAGCTTGCTCAAGTTTACATAGTAAAGTGACAGAATATGGATAAAAACCTAGGTCTGCCCAAATCCAAAGTCCATATTCTTTTCTCTGAATTAAACTTACCTGCAGGTACTCTGACTGCTTACCTGGAAAACCTACAAGAATCAATTAGTAGTTACATTAGTAATAAGAGTTCAGTAAAGAAAGAAAAGAGAAAAACATTTTTTTTAATAGCTGCTTTTATATCTACCAGAAAATAAAAAATAAAATAACCACTGGAAACACTCAAAGACAACAAAGCTGGCCAAGCACTGACCACAAGCCACTCCATTCATTGACCACCTCCAAAGGCACTCCCATTCCTGACTTCTTTCATGAACACCCCGAACACTGACCTCCCCATCATTTGCCTCTAATCAGTGACTTAACCTGAAAGACACCCCAAACATTCACCCTAAGCGCATTCCAAACACTGACCCAACGTCTAGGAAACGCCAGTCACTGATTTACCTCCAAGACCGCAGCCCAAGTCACTGACCTACCCCACAAAAGCAATACCCCAAGTCCTAACACCTTTCTCCAGGCCACTCCAATCCCTCACCAGCCCAGACCTGCACCATTTCCGACAATCCCGCTTCCTCAATCATGGAATGCATCCACCGCCCACAACGGCTTGCTTCCCTCACGGACAACCCAAAACCTCCCTACCATAAACCCCAAATCTCCACAAACCAAGCTCAATCTGATTCCGCTCCCAGAACGCGAAACTGAGACCCCTTAATAGAGCCTTCGCGCACCAGTTGGGTTGGTAGAAAGGGCCACGGTCCATCACTTCGGCTTTAGACTCACAAGCGCTACTATCGCACCTCCCAGGTCAAGTTTAACGTCTTTGGTATCCGAGTCTGCGGGTTGCCAACCACCACACCGGGGGAGTCCTTCCACCGATGAAGATTCCGTTCAGCTTTCGGTCTTTTAGACAAAGACACTACGAGATAGTATGGCGGCGCCCTGTTGGCCGATTTATGCGGGAGCCGCCATATTGGAAGATGCCGTACAACATCTTTTTCTGCCCTAGATAACAGTACTACTCCACGTTACGTCAATTGTGAGCGACGCAAAGGGCGATGCTCTTGCTCTCGTCTGCCTGGAACCCGGAGGCGCACCAAGCCAAAGGCAGCAAAACTTGGCAAGCAGCAAAACTTGACAGCAGGTGCGGCCATTTTGACAAAGGTGCACATATCCGTGCTGGAAAGGGAGTCGTCCTTTAGGGAGTGCAAAGCAGGGGGAACAGTCTCAGGAAGTGCTTATGAAGAACAATATAGGGCTTGGAGAAGCCAAAGTAGTATGACAAAGGCAGCATGCCTCACTGTGGGCACAGAGTAAGAGTAAACTAATTTAGTTTAAGGAAAAGATCTCTTCCTGACAGGATTGCTGGTGGCCCTTCGGTGACATCTCCCGGTGAAAGGTGACAGGGTAGGTAGAGCTAGTAGTGAGGGAGAGGTAACGGTATTGGCCAAGGTAGAGGGTGGCGAAATGCTAGGAATAGAAGACTAGAAATTGTTGGTAGAAATTAATTAACAGGCTTTACCTCAATTCAAATGTTTTCACATTTAATTTTTAGTGAAGTTATTGTAATTGGAATTGAGTCAGAGAGAATGTAAAAGTTTAATTGGGTAGATAATTCCAGATTGTTGTCCAAAACTGTCCTATTAATGACACATTTTACTGGCTGCTTCCCTTCTTGAAGGACTATATCCTAAAACTAATAGCTAATTTTTAGTAAGTGTATACACATTTTTTGAACAGAAAACTATTTCAGGCATAATAATTAGATTATCTTGGTACTCTGAAAGCTATAGATGGTGATCCTAAACATTACCCTCACTTCCCATATGGGGGGGGGGGGAGGCCAAATGTATCAGAATGTCTGTTTCCTCAACACCTCATCAATCTTTTAAATTGTGCCCATTTTAAGGGTGGGGTGCCTGGATGGCTCAGTTGGTTGGGTGTCCAACTTTGGCTCAGGTCACGATCTCACCTTTTGTGGGTTCGAGCCCCGTGTCCAGCTCTGTGCTGACAGCTCAGTGCCTGGAGCCTGCTTCAGATTCTGTGTCTCCCTCTCTCTCTGACCCTCCCCACTCACATTCTCTCTCTCTCTCTCTCTCTCTCTCTCTCTCTCTCTCTCAAAAATAAACATTAAAAAATTTTTTTAAATCTTATTCTAGTTTATTTTATAAATTGTTTACTTCCATTTCCCTCAGTATTTTAAATTGGTTATCTTTTTCTTAATCATATTGGGGGCATTTATACCTATTAATTCTACCCCCATTCTCTTATATTTACAGACACCTATATTGTTTCTCATTTGGAGCTATTTGAATAAAGGTGCTATGAACATTCTTGTGTAAATCTTCCTGAAGACCTACCATTTCAGCATTGTTGAGTAGATATCTAGGAGTGGAACTGCTGCTCTCATATGGTTCTCAGTTTTATTTTGCAGTTCTCTTAATCTTAGGAGTTAGTTTTGAAAGGATTTTTAGTCTTTTAAAGATTTCTGATATCTTAAGTAAGATGGATATACTTCTAATGGATTTATTTGGGGGCATGATTTATCACGAAGGACACTTCAAAACAACCCTCCCGCAAATACAGTCTTCTGCCATAGGCATTTCCTTTTCCTCATTCTTCCAATCGAGTTGTATATATTTTTTTCATGTTTACTTATTTATTTATTTGGAGAGAGCGAGTGAGCACAAGCAGGGGAGGGGCAGAGAGAGGAGAGAGAGAACCCCAAACAGGCTCAGCACCATTAGTGCAGAGTCCAGTGCAGGGCTTGAACTCACACACCCGGAGATCATGACCTGAGCTGAGATCAAGAGTTAGATGCTTAACCAACTGAGACACCCAGGCACCCCCAAGTTACATGTCAATTTTGGTTGGGTTAGATTGGTGTTTACTTTATGATAACTATGTAAATACTACTTATAGCTCAGCCATGTAGTATACTATGATTAGTTTTCCTTTCTTGCACAATTTTTTATTCTCCCTGGAGTTGCCTTATTCCTTCCTTCCAGAAATTCTGGCCTTTGGTTCTCAGAGAACCAATGGTCCTTGTCACTGGCTCCACAGCAGGATGGGGAGCCTGCTACCACATGTAACTTGCCATCTGGACATTGGCTGGAGACTGCTCTCCTCACCTTTACTGGGCGGTAATTGTGTTCTTGGGGGCTCACATCTGGGATCCAGAGACTGTGTTTCCACTTCCTTTGTCACCAGGGTACGAACCTTGGAGCTCCAGGAGAAGTGACCTTGCTTAGCGTCAGTGGACTGCTTGGCTAGGATGCACAATGGAACCCAGTGAGGCCCAGGAACCAGCTCAGGGAGCGCCGCCCATCAGACTGGTAAGAACCTGGGTTCATTTTGGTAGACCTGTCCCTAAGAGGCAGAAGGGGAGCCTGATCATCTCCCAGAGTTGCCTGAGTAGTTCCATAAGGGACAAAACTGCAATTTCAAGGCACTGGGTGCTGGACGGTGGGTTGGAGTCCTTATGTGACTGTGTGTGAATGAGACAGACAGTGGAAAGTCTACCTGACCATTGGGCCACAGTAAGTGTTGAGTCCCCGCTGCGGTTCCGTGGGGACCTCATACGGCTTACGGTGGTGTCAGACTTCCTCAGGAGTCTGATCCCTGTCAGGACTTGATACTGAACCCGCCAATGCTAAGAGGTGCCTACAATATCTCCTAGAGGAGAGCGGCAGGAAACTGGCAAAGCGAGTGTGCATCCTGTCCAAATTAGTCCCTCCCTTCCCCTTTTTTCCTCTCTTGTGTGTGAAAGTTGTCCGTTAGGGGGAGGAAATGGGTGGAAAGCAGAGTAAACTGACTCCCCTAGAGTGTATGTTGAGGAATTTCAAAAGTGATATTCAGAAGACTATGGTATGAAATTAACTCCCAGAAAGCTCCAGACAATCTGTGAAATTGCTTGGCCATCGTTCAAGGTGGGCTGGCCCTCTGAGGACTCATTGATAAGAAACTAGTTGGCCGAGTGTTCAGGGTTGTTGTGGGGGATCCAGGCCACCCCAACCAATTTCCTTACATTGATTTTTGGCAAGACCTGGTCCTATCCTGGCTACCTTGGCTAAAAGTCTGTATTGAGGAGAACTGTAAAGTTACGATGGCTCGTGTCACAGCTTTCTTCAAATGCCAGCCCCAAACTGAAAAACCCATGCTGTCAGGAGAACTTGAGGAGACCCCACCACGATATGCCCCACTGTCCCCCTCACTGCCACCTGTGCCTCCAGCCACTGGGCTGCTGAAACCCTACCGGAGCCTGCCTCTAGTCCTGAGACCTCACCACCTCCAGCACCACCGGCCTCTCCAGATGTGATGGGCTTGCCTGGACCACTTGTCCTAACCCCATACACCCCTCCTGGAAAGCAACTAGAAGATCAGGCCAGCAGAGACAGTCCCTCCCTGCAGCAACACCAGAGCCCTACAGATGCCACTAAGGGAAACTAGGGGACCTGTCTCTTATGATCAGGAAGGCCAGATCTGAGGAGACCAGCATGTTTTTGTGTACCCAACCTTTACCACTACGGACCTCCTAAATTGGAAGCACCATACTCCTTCCCATACGGAGAAGCCCAGGCTATGATTGAACTAATCCATAATTCAAACCCACAAACCTACCTGGACGGACTGCCGCCAACTCCTCCTGACCCTCTTTGACACAGAGGGGCGTTGTGGAATTACCCAGGCGGCCCTAAAATGCTTACAGGAGAATGCCCCGGCTGGGATGCTAGACACCCAGGCTTATGCTCAAGCTCACTTCCCTGGGGAGGACCCCAAATGACTCAAGTGTAGATGGAGGGCTCGCAAGGACTGAACGGTCTCAAGAAGCCCTTCTAAATGGCATGAAGGAAGGGGGTGAAAAGGCCATAAATGTGAGTAAAACATCAGAAGTACTCCAGGCACCCGAGGAGAGCCCAAGCCAGTTCTACGAGACATTATGTGAGACATTTCGTCTCTACACCCGTGTTGATCCAGAAGCGCCCGTGACCCAGCGTATGGTCAGTGGGCTTTTGTCAGTCAGGCCCAACGGGACATCTGGCCCAAGCTGCAAAAGCTGGACGGTTTTGCTGGCATGAATGCCAGTCAGTTGCTGGAAGTAGCAACCCAGGTGTTTGTCATTAGTGACCAGGTGGCATGGAGGAAAGAATGCCAGAAGGTGCAGAAAAAGGCAGACTCGTTAGCTGCTGCCTTGGTGGAGCAGTCGGAACACTCCTGGAAAGGCGCCCCATAGGGACGGAGCTGGGGCCCAAAAGGGGACAGGCGGGGAGGATCATCTTGCCCAGGACCAAAGTTAGGATGGAACCAGTGTGCTCACTGCCATCAGGAGAGCCACTGGAAAAATGAGTGCCCCCTGCGGCTGGGTAATTCTCAGCAGGGCCCCAAGCAGAAACAAAGGGGCCATGTGGTCCAGGGCCAGTACCAACCAGCATCATGGCCTCATGGGGCCCCCAGAGATGATTTTGTGGAGCTGCCATGGAGGACTATGAGGAGGACTAGGACAGACTGGGCTCTATTTTGTTAGGCCCCCAAGAGCCTATGGTCCAATTGAATATGGGGGGCTGATCCACTGACTTCATGGTAGATACTGGAGCAGAACACTCGGTGGTGACGCAACCAGTGGGCCCCCTCTCGCAGAGACAAGCTGCTGTTGTGGGGGCCACAGGCAATCAGACATGCAGTCCCTTCCTGCTGCCTCGGGAATGCAGTTTAGGCGGCCATGAAGTCATCCATGAATTCCTGTACCTCCCCTCCTGCCCTGTGGCTTTAATGGGCCAGGACCTGTTGGGAAAGCTGCAGGCCCAGATAACTTTCAACTCCCATGGACAAGCTGCTCTGGACCCTACGAAAGCCGGAAGCAAAGATTATGACTGTCAGGATTCCTCAAGGGGAAGAATGGCGCCTCTACAGTCTCATGGAGGAACCACAACAGGGACCTGAGCTGCCCTTCAGAGTACCCTTGTGTGGGCTGAGGACAACTCCCCAGGACTGGCCTGGAACATACCTCCAGTAATTGTAGCCAGGGGCAGAGCCTATCTACCAAAAACAACATTTCATCCCTCGTAAGGCACAGGTAGGGCTACAGAAGCACCTGGAGAGACTTCTAAAATATGGGATCCTCCAACCCCGTCGGTCATCTTGGAACATGCCTCTCATACCAGTCCAGAGCCGGGCACCGATGACTATCAGCCAGTCCAAGACCTGCATGCTATCACCAGGTCAGTAAACCAGGCCGTTGTCACCCTACACCCGGTTGTCCCAAACCCATACACTCTCTTGGATCTTATCCCCACAGAAGCTGCCTTCTTCACATGCCTAGAGCTCAAGGATGCCTTCTGCATCCACCTAGCCCCCCAGAGTCAACCAGTCTTTGCCTTCCAGTGGGAGAATCCTGAAAATGGTGACAACGACCGGTTGACTTGGACCAGATTGCCTCAGGGGTTCAAAAACTCCCCAACTATTTTCGGCACTGCATTAGCCTCAGACCTAAAAGCCTTCCCAGCGGATCAACATGGCTGTGTCCTGCTTCCGTATTAGATGATTTACTGTTGGCTGGAAGGTCTCGGGAGGATTGCATGGAAGGAACTCGGGAACTCCTTACCCTCCTATGGGAAACTGGCTATAAAGTCTCAAGAAAAAGGCCCAAATCTGTCAAAAGAAAGTCAAGTACCTTGGCTTTCACCTCTCCCAGGGGCAGTGCCAACTCGGCCTGGAGAGAAAATAGGCCATATGTTTAATTCCGGTCCCGTTGGCCCGATGTCAGGTTCAGGAGTTACTCGGGGCTGCAGGTTTCTGTAGAATCTGGATACCTAACTTCTCGGTCTTGGCAAAACCCCTTTATGAGGCCACAAGTGGGGAGAGCAGGAATGCCTGTTACGGGAGCAAGTACAGCAAAGGGCCTTTAAAGAGCTCAAGTGGGCCCTTGCCAACATGCCTGGTCTGGGGCTCCTAGATACGTCCAAGCCTTTCTTCTTGTATGTTCATGAACATACTGGCATTGTGCTGAGAGTCCTAACTCAGATGTTGGGGTCATGGCACCTCCCGGTGGCACATCTGTGCAACTTGACTCTGTTGCCCAAGGCTGGCCACCCTGCCTACGGGCACTTGCAGCCACGGCCCTCTTAGTGTCTGAGGCTGACAAGTTAACTATGGGACAAGAACTGACAGTCTGAGTGCCACATTCAGTATTGACATTTATGGAGTACAAGGGACAGTACTGGCTATCCAACGCCCGGATGGCCACATATCAGGGAATGCTGTGTGAGAACCCATGCATTCACCTAGAGGTAGTGCAGCCCCTAAACCCTGCAACCCTATTGCCTGTCAGGCCAGGTCAACCAGATCATGACCGCATTGAAGTCATGGATGAGGTGTTCTCCAGCTGACCAGACTTGAGGGACCAGCCCCTCAAGGACCCCAACTCTGAGTATTTCCCCGATGGTAGCAGTTTTGTGAAAGAGGGAGAACGCCTTGCAGGGTATTCCATGGTGACCCTGAGTTGTATCGAGGCCAAACCCCTGCCAAAGGGGACTTCGGCACAGAAGGCAGAGTTCATCGCACTAACCAGAGTCCTCCAACTGGTGGCAGGGATACGTGTTAATATATACACAGACTGTAAGTATGCCTTCACCACCCTCCACGTACATGGGGCTTTATATATAAAGAAGGGTCAATAAACTCACGAGGAAAATACACAAAGTATGGTAAGGAAATCCTTGAACTCTTAGACGCTGTGTTAGCCCCTAAAAGAGTGGCAGTCAGGCATTGTTGGGGACATCAAAGGGGAGACACCATGGCTGCACGGGGAAACTGTAAGGCAGACCAAGAGACAAAGCTTGCAGCCTCCAAAGGAACAGCGGAATCAGCAGCTTTAACCACCACACTGTTCCCTAGTCCACTGGGCAGAGTGGGACCCTAATTACTCACAACATGATAGTACCTGGTTTAAGACTGAAAATGGAAGCTACCTCCTAGGTGGATGGTGGAAATTCGAAGACAGCCGAGTAGCGATTCCTAAGGCCCTGGCCCTTGCTCTCGTCAAGCAGTTCCATCAGGAAACCCATATTGGCCAGACAGCTCTTGAGACTACTTTGAGCCTACATTTCTACATCCCTTTACTCTCTAGCATAGCCTGCGCAGTAGGCAAGCAATGTGAAATGTGTGCCCAGCATAACCCATGTCAGGGACCCAAGGCTGCCCTTGGGGTACAGTTTTGGGGGAGCCCCATTTGAAAATATCATGGTGGGGGCACCTGGATGGCTCAGTCAGTCAAGCATCTGACTTTGGCTCAGGTCTTGGGTTTGAGCCCTGCATCGGGCTCTTTGCTGACAGCTTGGATCCTGGAGCCTGCTTCAGATTCTGTGTCTCCCTCTCTCTCTGCTCCTTCCCTGCTCACGCTCTCTTTCTTTCTCTCTCTCTCTCAAAAAATAAACATTAAAAGAAAATTAAAAAAAAAAAAAAGAATATATGACGGTGGACTTCACTGAGCTTCCCCAGGTCCAAGTCTGTAAATATCTGTTGGTCTTGGTGTGCACCTTCTCTGGCTAGGTGGAAGCCTTCCCTACTCACATAGAAAAGGCACATGAAGTGGCCCAACTTCTAAAAGAAATCATTCCTCCATTTGGGATCCGTATCACTATGGGATCAGATAACGGGCCAGCATTCGTGGCCAAGGTGGTGCATCTGGTGGCAAAGGGGTTAAAAATCACCTGGAAGTTACACACAACATACCGACCCCAGAGCTCCGGGGAGGTGGAACAAATGACCTGAACCCTGAAGCTGCAAGTAAGTAAACTATGTCAGGAAACCCACCTATACTGGGACCAGGTGTTGCAAATTGCCTTGTTAAGAATCAAGGTGTAGGGGTCCCTGGGTGGCTCCGTAGGTTAAGCGTCCTACTTCAGCTCTGTCATGATCTCATGTTTCATGGATTTGAACCCCACATCGGGCTCTGTGCTGACAGCTCAGATCCTGGAGCCTGCTTCGGATTCTGTGACCATCTCTCTCTGCTCTTTCTCAAATATAGATAAACATTAAAAATTAAAAAAAAAACTTTTTTAAAAAAGGTGTAGCCCCACTAAGCAGATGGGGTTCTCCCCTTATGAAATCCATTATGTGCGCCTTCCCTGTATTTTCAAGGGCATAAGGAGGGATCTAAATGAGATAGGGAGTCTAATCCTAAGACAACAGATGTGGGCCCTTGGCTCTACCCTAACCATCTTCCACCACTGGGTTAGGGAGCAATTACCTGTGAGTCTGACCACAGAGACACTCACCCCTTTAAACCAGGAGATGCTATATGGGTGAAGGAGTGGAATGTCCAGTCCCTAAAACCCCTCTAGAGGGACCCGGTCACTGTCATTTTGTCTGCCCCTCCTGCAGTAAAGGTGGCCGAGGTGGATCCCTTGGATTCACCACAGCAGAGTGAAGCTGGCATCTCCAAACTGGGAGTACATTCCTGGTCCATCAATGCCATGCAAGCTGACCATACGGAAGAAGCAATCTGCAACTCCAGAGGCTCCGGGAGACTGCAGCCCTGCTTTAGTCACTCCGGAAGCTGACTGATCCATGCATGGCAGAAGCTTGAGGAGTTGACGGTCCGGTGGAACAAATAGACTGTCCTTATTTTCTATATCTGTTTCCTTACTCTGATGCACTGTCACCTTTCATCTCTCACTGTTATTGTGATTCTTGCTCTACTTTTTGCCATAGGATTGGCAGAGGCCGCCCCGGCCAGCGGGGAGTGTGGTGAGAGGTTTCTGTTAGCATTCGCCTTCCTTTTGTGGATAGGATAGTTTGTTGGCATTGGTTGCTTCTAATCTGGACCTCTTCTGTAGACCTAGATTCTTCATCACGTGACCCATGTATTCACATAACCAGGTCAGGCCAGGGAGTCACTTGGACCTTACTATACCATACCCACTTCTCATGCCAGGGAAGGGTCCTGGGGCCCTGCAGACACAATAAGACCACCTATTCTATCTGCCAACGGGACAATCAATACACTTGCTTTGGCCCACAATACTCCCCCAGTGAAGATTGGTTAGAAGTCCAATCCTACCAAGGGTGGGGGCTGGAGGGGGGTGGGGCTTGTCAGCCAGACATAAATTACTAACCCAAAGCGACCTGTGTCAATGCTGTTTGACGTCTGTGTGGTTATAAGTATTGGCCCAGGGGCATCTGTCATACGAGAAAAGCAGGCACTTGTCATAGAGGGCCCATAGACTCTTGATATACCATGCAGAGGCTTAGATTGGGAGCCGGAATACTGACTCAATGACAAATACATGTGTGAGGAAAGCGGTTTATGTGCCTATACACCTGAGTTTTTATGCCCCAGCTGGAGCTGTGTTTCATGGGCTACTTGGAAAAAAGAAGGCACAACAGTGCTCCTTCAGAAGGAGCTACTACATCAGATTGTCGATCGAAGGCCTGTAACCCTGTTAATTTTACCATTATTAACCCAGGAGATTCCAAATGGCAATGGGGCACCTGAATTGGCATCTGGATCCATGGGTAAGGCAGAGACCCAGGGACTGTGCTGTATTTCAAGAGAGTCACTACCGCCCATCCAACCATGTTCCATCAAGTCTTCCACGCCTTCTATGAAGAAATAAGAAGTAGCCCCCCTCCCACTTCAGTCACAGTAAGAAACTTGTTTCTAGCCCTTGGAGAGACATAGCCCAAACTCTAAAGATCTCTTCTTGCTATGTATGCAGGGGAACCAACATGGGGGATCAATGGCCATGGGAGGCTATAGAATTAGATCCCTGTGAAGCTTATAATGGAACAGAATACCCCAGTCCTAGTACTGGGGCTTGGCTCCTCAAAAACTCAATTATTGGGAAAAATTGCCTTGCCCAGTGGGGAAGAAAGTTCACCATTTCTGTTGGAAACATAACATGCCTAGGCCAAAGATTTTATAACTCAACCACCTGGGAAAGCCAATGGTGGGGGTCCCCAGATCACCTTGAACCAGATCCCCACCCCTTGTCTAACTTCTCTCATCTCTGAGAGGCCTGGGACAATGTTGACACAGCCATCAAATGGCGGGCCCAGGTGGATTATACTGGATATGTGGAAGGACAGCCTATACAGCACTTCCCTCAGGCTGGTCAGGGTTATGTGTGCTGGAAACTATTCATCCATCCTCTCTTCCTGCTCCCACTTGCCAGAGGGGAATGTTTGGGAGTCCAAGTGTATGGGGACAGAGAGACTC